TGAATGTGACTTTTTAAAACCTTCACAGTGTTTTTGTTGTGAAGGTTCGACTTTTTCTAAACCTTCACAGTGTATTTGCTGTGAAGGTTACATGTAAAAATGTGGTCTCACGGGTCATATGAAAACAGGCTGGTCTCACGTGAACCCAACCCTATATATATATATAGAGAGAGAGAGAGAGAGACTTAGGATCATGTAAGACCAAGAGTTTCTCGTGAGACCCGTAAGACCAATTTTCAACCCTTAGATTAAATCTACAATCTGAATTTTCGTAATCATAAATTTGTCACGAGACTTCTCAATAATCATAAAATTGTCACGAGACTTCTCAATAATCACAAAATTGTCACCGTGCAACTTTAGACCGTTAGATTAGTAGCTTATAAAATTAATCAATGAACATAAACTGGTCTTACGGGTTTCACGGAAAACCCTTGGTCTCACGTGAACCCAACCCTATATATATACATATATATATACACACACACACACACTTAAAAAGGATAAGATGAAAATTAGGGGTGTTCATGGGTCGGGTTTATTGGGTTGAAGACATTTGAAAAATCTAACCCAATTTATGCGATTTGAAAAATCTTAACCCAAAAACCTGAACCAAAGTGCAACCCAACCCAACCCGTACGGGTTGGTCGAGTTAGTCGGATTGGTCGGATTAATACTTTGGTACATTAAAATATATTTCCACACACACACACACACATACATAGAGAGATCGATCTTTAGTTATTGAAGTTGTTTCTTAATTTTTATGCACGTGTGCATGCTTTGCACATGTGTATACCGAACAAATAACCCAAAATTACTTGTATGCACATGTGTATATTGTCCAGATGAACAGTTACAAAAATATTGGCTTATAATGTGTATGTTTCCTATGTATTCGGTTCACAATGTGAATCTTTTTTACATGTATTTTTTATTTCACAAACACGCTAATAAGGTTCACATTTTGAACCGAGTACATGTGAAATAAATATATGTTAATTACTACATTATTAGTCATAGATGAAAAAAAATCATATGAAATAGCACATAATGCATCGGCTCTCACATATCTCACGATTTTAAAAGTTCTTAAAAGAATGTCTTCCCATATATGTTATATATAGAGTCAATATAAATAAGAAAATTAAATACCAAAAGTAAAAAATGAAAGTTCAGATATAGGCCAATTCAAAAAAAAATATACGTGAATATCCAAATGTGAACTGATATTATAGGTTATTTATATGAGTTTACATAGTTATCTTCAAATTGATTTTTCAATGATACATATGAACCTTTATTTAACCTTTTTTTTCATGATATTTAATTTTTCCTTTTTTCACGATATTTAATTTAATCTTCTTATTTAAACTTGCTACTATGTATGTATTTTATTTTCGCTTCTATTACTTTTCTAATTAATATCTGTTAGATCATCCAGATCAAACGTTTCGATGAGTTTTTGGTTCTCTTTTTAGTCTTTCTCTTGGTCTCACCCTTGTACATAGGGTGAGATCGAGAGAGGATCTAAGTAAATTGAAAATAATAATAATAAAAAGATTAATATGAATGTCAATTTAAAATAGTAAAATAATTTTTTTTAATGTAATTTGTTTTATTTCAATTTCCGTTATATTTGCCAATTTTTTTATTAAAAAAGTAGGGTGAAATATTTTTTTATTAAAAAATGGTTATTATAACCACCTTTTAATCATATCACTTAGATCATCTTATTCTAACCTTTTAGGTGAATATTTCGAATACTTTTTTGGGTTATTTACGGTAGTGTTTGGTATGCAAACATAATTGAATATGATTGAACAAGACATAATTGGACAGGACATGACAATAGGGTAGGAGTGGATGAGACAGAATTGAACATAACAGGAGTATGTCTAGTGTTTGGTACGACTAGGACTGGACGAGACAGAACTAGACAAGCTACCCCAAAAGTTATTTGATGATTTTAAATATCATATAATAGTTATAATTAACACAAATAAAGTAATAATTAAAGAATAAATATTTGTACATAATTTTCATATTTGTACTAAATTTGAATGAAAATTTTGATATAATTGATGGTAGTGGTGRTGGTGGTGGAGGTGGTTTTGGTTATGGTGAAGGTGGTGGTGGCCGAAGGTAGTAGTTGCAACGGGCGGTGGTGGTCAGCGGCCGACAGTGGTTATGGAGGTAAAGGCAGTGGTGATTGGTGGACGACAGTGGTCATAGAAGACATGAAGATGGTAGATTGTGGTGGTGGTTGACAATGGTGGAGGAGGTAGTTGTGGTTGATGTAGTGTGAGGATAGTGGTGGTGGTGGTTATGGTGGAGGTGAGGTGGCAATGAATGGTGGTGGCCGATGGTGGTCGTAGAGGTCGTGGAGGAGGTTGTTGCAGTAGAGGAGGAGTTGAAGGTGGCGAACGGTGGTAGTGGTGGTGGCAATGGACGGTGGTGGTCGGTGGTCGACTATGGTACAGGTGGCAATAGACTTGGTGGTTATGGAGACGGTGGATGATGTTATTGTAGTGGAAGAGGATGTGGAGGTGGAGGTAGCCGTCGGCGACCGCCGGTAGTGGTGGAGGCGGCCGAAACTAGCGGCGATGACCTTTAAAACAAATATCATATTAAAGTTATATATCAAACTAGAGTAGATTAGTAATATTTTAGTTTCTATTTCATTCTTGTCCCATCTTGTTCCACCTATTTTGGTGGATCAAGAAAAAACCTCTTTTGTCTCATGTTGTCCCACCTTGTCCCAGTTTTTGTCCCTGTCCCATGTCGCACCAAAAGTAGGACAATGAGTTCTTGTTTTGTCTCATCACCCATGCTACGCCAAACATGTGACAGTGGATTTTGTCACGTCCTGTCCTGTCCTGTCCTGTCCCGTCTCATGTACCAAACTCAGCCTACGAATCTTTTATATTAAAGGATAAAATCGAAAAATGGTTGGCTGGAAAAACAATGTCCTCTACATCAAATGGTAAGATTGAAAAACCAATAATATTAAGTTAATGTAAAAATGCAAACTGTGAGTGGTTTTATTATAAAACAAACAACTTAGAGCATCTCTAACAAGTATGTTATATTTATGCATCTCTATCGGTAACGAACCATATCAACCTCGAGTGGTTAGCTCATTGACAATTAAATTTGGACTATTATGGCTCCTTCTTATAAGTCACTGGTTCGAATCTCTTCAAATTTATTCAGGATTTTTCTACCTATTTTTAAGACCCAACAAAATTAATTGAGATGCACATAAACTAGGGTTGCACATGGGTTGAGTTGGCGAGGTTGACAACATTTGAACAACCCAACTCAATGTCTGCAATTTAGAAAATCTCATCCAATCCACAACCTTACGGATTGATCATGTTGAAACATTAGTATATTATTTTACAAATTAGCTAAATGTTTGTATTTAAACGAGATAAAGTCAAAATGAGAACATAAAAAAAAGTCTAACAAACTCAAAAAAGAAAGCTTAATGTTGATGCAAATAAAAAAAATTATGGTTGGAATTACAGTTACAACATCATTTTTGAATATATCTAATTTTGGATAGTCTAATGTCCAATGTACATATTAATGTCAAAAACTTAACAATCATATTAAATCCATAATATAGAAATGCATCAGGTTCATGAGGCTGGGTTGGGTTCATGTGACCGTAACCCAATTTCAACTCAATAAACACGACTTGACCAAATTTTATATCAACTATATATCAGGTTACCTTAAATTGAATTAATTTAGATTTTATAAAATTGGGTTAACCGGGTTAGTCGGTTTTTAAGCACCCCTAACACAAAATGACCTCTACAGAGTTAAAAGAAACAACAAAAACCATAACTTGTTATCCTCTAAAATTGGGCCTAGAGCCGTAGTTCAAGTTAGTGATGGCTAAAAACCGGTCTCGGGCCTCAGCAACGTCGGCCATAACCGGTCCCGATCGAAAATGAGGAGCCTGGTTAAGCTGAAGTATAACCGGTTATGGTGAGCCGGTTCGGGTCCCAACCGGTCCCGGCCATTAAAAAATATTTTTAATGGTAGTTTTTTAATACGTTATAAAATTTGTAATTGAGTCACTCAAATACACTTTAAAAATGCGTTTTATTATAATTAAAATTACATTGTCTTCCAAAAATACATTATAAAATTATTTGAAAATACACTTATTCATCAATCATCATCGGTATTCCATGTCGGATTGATTTGAAGAGTTTCGGTCTCTTAAATTCTTTTAATAACTTTTTGGTCATCAATGTCGAGTTCCTCATCATCGTCAAATTGTGAGTAAGTGTCGTCGGCATCGGTAGTTCGCGGCGTGCTTATTCCAATGACGATTTCATTTTTTTCCAAATTTTCTTCCACCGTTTCAATCTTCACCTTTAATGATGTCGTGTGTTGAATTCTATCAACGCTATCCAAGTAATGCTTCAAACAGATACAACACTCCACTGACTCCGGACTTAGTTTTGTCCGACATATCAACAAAGAGAGAAGACATGAGAATTGTGAAGTGGAAGCGATAAATGAATACGAGTCGAAGTCACAAAATATAGGGAAAAACCGAGAATTGTGAACGTTTTTTTTTTTGCGTTTTGTAAGTTGGTATATAAATCATTCAACCATGACACTTATATATAGTGTTTAGAAGGCAAAAAATACAAAAAAGGTGAGCAAACGGTCATAAACGACTATATTTAAAAAACGGGTAGATTTTTTGAAAAACTGGGCCAGGGCGGTCCTATAACCGGTCTCGATCGGTCTCGGCCCCTCGAAACACTCCAAAACAGCAACCATTCCTGGTTTCTGGTCCTAAAGCGGTCCTTACCGGTCCCGGTTCTGATCCTTCGGCGTTCCGGGGCCGGTTTGGTCAAGTTTCTCACGTTTGGGCCTCTTAAGCCCAAGTTTCTCACATTTCGGCTTCTTAAGCCCCAAGTTCAAGTCCCTTAATTGCAAGACTTTTCCAATTCGCCGTTCTCACGCAGAACGAGGTTGTATCCATCACCATCAAAAATCCGACCGTTGGAGCTTCGCCATTGATACACCCTACCCACTGGAAGAAGCTTTAACTATGGCGAGGATGAGCGACAGAGCTGCAGAACCTCTAGCAACTACTCCGGTTACTGTAAACCCTAGGAATCAAGAAATGAACTCCGACTATTCTACTCCTAAGGTTTCTTCCGATTACGAGAAATGCAGAGAGGAAAGAATAAAACAAAATCTCGAGAGGATGCAAAAGCTCGGCATTTATGATTTGTCTCTTAAGTTGAGATCCATTAAACCCAACACCAATAGGAAGAACAACAAACCCTTATCCACCAATCAGAACAAAACCCCTAATCGGTGTATTCCCCCCTTGCCCTCATCGGTTCCCGCACGTCGTTCCTCCAGGTTCTTTTTTCCTTTTTTCCTTAACTTTCTTTCACTTTTCAGAGTTGTTTTACTTCTATTTTGAATTAACAATTTGTTTCTGATGGTTTGTAATCTGAATAGTTTTCTGGGGTTTATAACTTATGATTTTCGTTAGAAATTGGATGCTTTTTGTTCGATCAGATGTGGTGTTTGTTGATAGAATGAGGTTTAATTTCTTCGTTTAGTGCTGTTTAATCGACATTTTGAACTGCAGATTGGTTTATGAAGTGTTCTCATCTCTATAATTTTGTGGGTACTCAAAAAAATCAAACATTTTAGCTTTAATATCTCCTAGGAATTTGCAGTTACTTGTTTAAATCTATTTCAAGAGACATGTGTATCCGTTTTTGTGGGATTACTATGAAGTATGAACAACTTATTTGAATGTTTTGATCTGTTAAAACTTCTCAATTTACCAATTTCAAAATGGATTTTGCTTTATAGGTTGCAGAATACACCAACAGTTAGCTACACTGAAGCTGTTAAGTCGAAAAAGGATAAAGATGAAAATGACCATCTGATAAGGGAGAACTCTAGGCCCGAGGTTTACACAGAAGAACACGAAAAGCGTTTAGGTGATGCTAAAATGGAGTGGACTCTCTTTGTGGATGGATATGGAAAAGATGGCAAGAAAATATATGATCAAGTCAGAGGAAAGACTTGTCATCAATGCAGGTATTCGATTGCATCTTTGATCATCTTTCACATTGTGTTGTTTCTTTTATGCATATTTGTTCTTGAACTCTTTCGATTAGTTTTGTATTTCTTGGTGCTTTTTCATTGTTCTAAAGACGGTTTGAATTACATGATTCATTGCAGGCAGAAAACACTTGGTCATCGGACGCACTGCGTCAAGTGCAATCTGGTTCAAGGCCAGTTTTGTGGAGATTGTTTGTATATGAGGTATATAAGAATTACAAATGAAGTAGAGACGGACGCATACGTTCGGATTCTTTCTCTATGTGTTTTAATTACAAATTCAAGAAACTGCTATGACCTCTGATAGGGAACTTGAAAGCGAAAGACCAGGGTAGCAAACTAGATGTGGGGACTGATGGCATGTAGCTAGTGTGGTTGGGCAGAAGGGAGTTGGAAAGGTTGGTGGTAGAGGGCTGGTTGTTAGAGTAAAATCTCCTGTAGTTACGGACCTCAGGTCCCTACCCTGTCCACCAATCACGTGAAAACACATCATCAGAGAGAGAATGAAAACATAAATTGAAATAATTATGTGTCTTTCACGTGATTGATGGGACAAAATAGGGATATGGGTTTTGGGAACTGAGATTTGTTTTATTAGGCAATTTATGCTAGAAGTCAGGTCTCCCTACCCCAACCCAAACTTCGAGTGGGATTTACTGGATTTGTGTGGTTTGGTTTACCCAACTTTCTTGCTTGACTTTGGTATCGGTTACACAATTGTTCTTGATCTTCACATTGCCGCATCAACATATTCTATGAAAGATGAAAATTTTGATGCATTGTAGTATCTATAAATACAGATATGGGGAGAATGTACTTGAAGCAATGCAAAATCCCGATTGGATTTGTCCAGTTTGTCGTGGAATTTGTAACTGCAGTTTGTGCCGTCAAGCAAAAGGCTGGGCTCCCACTGGTGTTCTTTATAGAAAGGTTTGTGATATCCTCGAAAACTATCTTTACACGTGCCTCTTATGTTACTTCTGAAATCTGACCCCAAAACGTATACATTTGTCGGTTTACACGTGTCTCTTATCCAGATTTCTAGTCTTGGGTACAAGTCGGTTGCACACTATCTCATCGAGACCCGCCAGTCTGATCCTAATTCAGAGAAGACGGAACCACCGATTTGTGCTAAAAGATCACTACCCTTTTCTAACGAAGAGGTTGAGTCTGAAGATGGTCTGAAGACAAGCGAAAAGATTGAACCTTTGCATGATAATGTCAAGCTAGAAAGTGGTCAAGAACCAGAAAACAAGAATCCTGAGGTGGAGGTTAAGTCTGAAATGATGGAAGATGAGAAACCATCTGAACTACAATCATCAGATGAACCTTCATGCAACAATCTAAAACTAGAAAGTGGTCAAGAATTGAAAGACAAGAATTCAGAGGCAGATGCTGATGTGGGTGAAAATGAGAACCCGAAAAAGATTAAAGAATCTGATGAATCTTCGTGCAACAATGTCAAGCTAGAAAGTGGTCAGGAATCGGATGACAAGAATTCAGAGGCAGAAAACGAAAATGAAAACCAGAAAAAGGTTAACGTTGAATTAAAAAACGAAAAGGCAGAAAATGAGGTCGAAAACAGCGTTGTTACTCCAGAAACCAGGCCGATCTCTCAAAAGAAACGCCGGAGAGTTGTGGAACCTGTTTTAGAGAATAGTATCGCTGGAAGGCTCAGATCTAGACGCAAATTGATTTGATGATCGAGATGTATTCCGCTTTCTTTTTTCGTTTCTTGGTGTTTTATTATGTCATTTACTAGGAACCAGATTAGCAGATCACAGACTAGAATTTCCCTTTAATTTGGGTGGGAAATCTTGCCGGGAGCCTTGATGCTGCAAGGATTGTTTTCTTGATCACCAGGTATTTTTGCAGCATTTTTGTTCATTTTGTGATGTAATTTAACAATATTATGGGAATATCATGGTCTTTCTGCAAAGGAAATTTGGTACCACTAAAGCCTGGTATTATCTGTTTCTTTGATTCTTATATGTTTTGTGGCCAAAGGTTTTTCGGGAGACCCGTAAGATCAATTTATGTTCATTGATCAACTTTATAAGATAATGATCTAATGGTCTAAAGTTGTACGGTGGCAATTTTGTGATTATTGAGAAGTCTCGTGGCAATTTTGTGATTATAAATGTATTAGATTATAGATCTAATCTAAGGGTTAAGAATTGGTCTTATGGACCTTACGAAAACCTTTGATATTACATGAACCCATGTGAAGAACATATTTAGATTTGCAATGATGGGGTTAGCAAAGAAGTCAAAGAAGCAAAAAGGGGAAGTAAAAGAAGAAGCATTCAGCCACTAATGAAAAGGCATAAACATAAACATCCTTCCAAGAAAAAAAAGGTCAAAACTTGATAATTAATTATGAGTTTGGTAATATCAACTTTAAACATGTGTGGACTTTGTCTTTTTCTACTTGGTTGGCATTCATCAATTACTACAATGCTTCACTATTTTATTTTATTTCCTTTTATTTTTTCTTTTTTAATATTAATTAATTATTATTATTTATTATTATTCAAATTTCTTTATAAACCAAATTAACCGTTGAATTTCCAATAAATTTTCCAAAATAAATAAATTAGAATTCTGGGCTTCCACAGTTTTTCCAAATCAAGAAAATACGAAAAAGAGAATAATTTTTTATTATTTAAACCAATAAGATTCATTGAAATTAAATGTACAAGAGAGAGAAATACTCCAAGGAATAATATTAGCATTAAAAATAATTTCTTATACTTTTAGAAATAAATAATTAATGTATGAAATTGGTATATATTTAAATAAAAAGTTATATGCAAAATAAAACAAAAGGTGGATTGGTAAATGGCCAATAATTCAAAAAAGATTTCCACTTTAGTTGGATGAAAAAGGAGGATAATGGTTGGGAAATCATGACCTAAAAACCACAAAAATATAATTCTAAGCAACAACTTTTAAATTAAAATTAAAATTAAAATTAAACTTATTAATTCTATTAACAAACAAAAATAATAACAATAATTTAAGATCCAAATGTATAAAAAGTAATTTATTAAATGATTATATTGCTCATGATGAAATAATTTATTGCTTTAAAATTTATTTATATACATTCCATAATCTTCTAATAAAACCCCTCTTATTCAAGTTATCAAAAAGTTTAAAATTCATTAACAAAATTATTTCACATCCCATTTATTTGAATAAAAAGTTGACTACAAACGATTCTAATTTATTATACACGAAACTTATTTTTGAGAGGAGGGTGTATGAGTTTATTTGTTCTATTTATCGTATATAAATATTATATACTTCAACAACAAAAAAAGACACTTAAAAAGCATTTTTTTTGACACGTTCAATAGTTGAGGTCTAGGATCAAACCCAACCATGTCTTATATTTGGAAAAGGGGTTCGACTCCTTTACCAACTGAGCTACATGTCAGAGACTCCATCAAATTTATTTCTTTTATAGAATTATTGGATTTATCAAATATTTTTTTTTTTACAACTAAGACCATCTCCAATCCAACACTAAGAACATTATAAACTAAAAAATGGAGGTGTTCTCATCTCCAACCCAACACCAAAATACTAAAAAGATGGCGGCTAGAAAATGTTGGCCTCTATATTTTAAGGTCAATAAAGTAAGCATCTATAAATATATTTAATATAATATTAAGTTTGGGTTGGGTTCACGTGAGATCAAATGTTTTTTGTGAGACCCGTAAGACCAATTTATGTTCATTGATCAACTTTATAAGCTAATAATCTAATGGCCTAAAGTTGCACGCTGACAATTTTGTGATTACTGAGAAATCTCGTGACAATTTTGTGGTTATGAACGTTGAGATTATAGATCTAATCCAAGTGTTGAGAATTGGTCTTACGGGTCTCACGAAAAACTCTTTTTCTCACATGATCTCAAATCTATTAAGTTTTTATAATATTATATATATATATATATATATATATATATATATAGGTATATATATTAAAAGTTGAATATATCTAGATGTTTATTATTATTATTATTATTTTATTATTATTATATTAAAGATGGTTTTTAGTGTGTGGTTGGTGGAGGTGTCCGACCAACCCAATCCAACGCGATATAACTCAACCCGATGTCTAATTGAAATCTTTAAACCATAGACATTGAATTGATATTGAGTTACTTTTATTTGAACCAAATTCAACCTAATAAATCCAGTATCCTTTTATTTCTTTGATTTAATATGATTGTTGAGTCTTTATTAATATGTACATTAGATGATTATATCATCACGTACCCTCTTCATATACATATATTTTCAATATATTCTTTATCTTTATATAATTAACTCATTTGTATATGTGTTCAATAACTATGAACATATATATGAACAAATTGAGAAAATTAATTGAATGTAATATACTTAAGTTTTAAGAAATATGAATAAGTTGTATCAAACGGTTGATGATGAAAAAAATTATGAATAGAGTAGAGAAAACAACATATTCAAGGTTATGAGAATATATTTTGATGTACCAAAGTATTAGCCCAACCAACCTGACTAACCTGACCAATCCGTACGGTTTGGGATGAGTTACACTTTGGTTTAGGTTGGGTTGGGATTTTCAAACCGCAAGTATTAATTTGGATTGTTTAAATATCTTTAACTCGATCAACCTAATCTATAAACACCCTTAATGGTTGAAATAGATTTTTTTTAATGTTCGATGAACACATCATTTTTAATGTTTTTAATATTATTTTTGTAAAAATTGATTCATATAATCATGAAAAGCACTATCTTTTACTTTGTGTCATTGTAATAATATTGTGGGCCAATGCTTTGGTTTATTAGTTATTTATTTATACTTAATGGAAATGTGATATATATATATATATATATATATATATATATATATATATATATATATATATATAATATATGTGGGCTCGGAGAACTGATTAGTTTGTGGTAACTGTGAGATCCAATCTCAACGGATAAATTAGGAAATTAATAATTATGCTAGTTTGAGTTAAAATTATAATTAGAGGTCATTTTAGGTATTTTTAAAAAACTCCTCTCTCCTCTCTCATTTCTCCTCTCCCCGACCTCCAATCTTCGACCTCCGGTGAATATTAATCCGGTAGGTACTAAGTAATCACAAAGATACACAATGTGATACCCATTGTGATATATAGTGATACTATTGTGATACCAACTATGATACCAACTCAAACTTTAAAAACAAAGATACACAATGTGATACCCATTGTAATACACAATGTGATACCAATTATGATATATTGTGATATCGATTTCACCGGATGCCGGAAATTGGAGGTCGGAGAGATGAGAGAGGATAGAGGAGAGAGAAGTTTTTAAAAAATACCTAATATGTCCTCAAATTATAATTTTAACTCAAACTACCATAATTATTAATTTCCTTATTTATCCGTTGATTTGTGGTTGAAATTAGACCTCACAGTTACCACAAACTATTCAGTTCTCATTTGATTAGGCCCCTATATATATATATATATATATATATATATATATATAAGCGTTCAAATAAAAACCATCCAATTTGTACAAACCGTGAAAACCACATTCAACCAATTATAATTTTTCATTTTGTTCATTTTTTTGTAATTATGAAAGGTTGATTAACCATTTTATTGTGGAGGGTGTTAATCATGGATATTATCATCTTCATTATTTTAATTTTAGAAAAATATATGAAACAGTTTTATTAAAATTTCATTAAATATTATATGAAACAATTTCATAACCATATATGAAACAATTTCATAACCATATATGAAACAAATTCATCAAAAAAAATATTATATGAAACAATTTAATAAGATTAAACAATTTCATGAAAAAATTTCATAAGATTAAACACAGAAATCAACGTATGAGGGTGGTTTGTATGGTTTGTACAAATGAGAGTGGTTTTCATTTGATCGCTCATATATATATATATATATATATAGAGAGAGAGAGAGAGAGAGATAGAGGTTGATTATTATACAACCCATGACATTTGTGCAACCAATACAACTCAATCTCAATCGTCCATTTTATTTTATTAATATGTGATTTCATAGAAGTTTTGATTGTTTCATAATATAAAGTATTGATCATAATTAATGAACCATATTCATATTTCATAAATATTCAAATCATAATAAATGAACTCTTATCATTTCCATAAATATCTCAATTTATTGGGTTACATTGGTTGTACAAATACAACAGATTGTATTTGAAACAAACTCTTTCTCTCTCTCTCTCTCTCTCTCTATCTATATATATATATATATATATATATATATATATATATATATATATATATATATATATATATAACAAATGGCTTTTAATCAAATTCCTTTCTAACACAATCTCCATCAAATTGAAGGGTTGCTTTCATCTTGAGATGCCAAAACAAGAATGAAATCATCATAAAACAACAAACCAAGTTGGTCAACAAATTTTGTTTTCCAAATTTTCTCCCAAATAAATATTTTAATTTTTCAGAGATTAGAAAAGTCCACTCCGATTACGTGTAATTTTAAGATCCGTTATCCGTATGTCAAATCATATATGTGATAATTTAAAAAACGACACTGTCCTTTTTGTCGTGAAAATAAATTATAACTTTTTACTGGGTTTTAATGTAAATTTGTAACCTTAAAACACAACGGAAAATTGAAAACTTTGGTTAAAATAGAACTTTTCTAAAATAAAACCCTAATCGGATCCAATGAGACATTTAATTAAAATTACATACCATATGATGTTCATAATTGCATCTTTTTACAGATCTAGTGTAGATTTTATACAACACTTAGAATCAAAAATAGGATTCCTCTATCAGTGATCAACACACGAGCACGCTAAGATCTCTCACCCGGTGCTGTCCCAAGAACCCTAGA